AAGTATTTAACGAACTGGTCCACCTATTCGCTCGTACATCCTATCGATATTCAGAAGCTATCTTGTTACGGGGGGCAAATTTTATGGAATCATCTTACTTTTCAATTATTTACAATGGCGATGCATGGACAATAAAAATGACCCCGGTAAGAATTTAGTTCTAACATTTAACATTGTTGCCGTTAGCTCTCAGTTCAATTTGTATATGAGTTACCTTCAATTGAAAATTGTTATACTATATATCCTGGTTACCTGGTTACTTTCGAAACCACTTCTAGATCCTCAATTAAGATATGCAACCTCCTGCTGCCGGTGAAGATGTGCCTCCGTAGCCGATGTCCTGGAATCCAAATGGAATGACGAGACAAGTGCGCTACTGGATTCTTGTTTTTTTTTTCAATAATTCATTGATATACAATTAAAAGAAGGTTGGGGATAATATGGATCCCTGGGGGATATACAATAAAAAGTATTCGAGAGATATCCATCAACGACCATTTGCAGGGAACGTTTTTTCAGGAAGCTGAAGAGAGCCATACACAAAAATGATCCATATTATCGAGCCATATTATCGAAGTTTGGTCAGCCAACCCATACGACACACACAAAACCTTAGAAATATCAAGCGCAACAGCTCTTGATTCTCCATGTTTCTCGATTGCGTTATTCCAAATATGGGTGACATACGATAGAAGGTCGCCTGTTGATCTTTGTTGTCGCATGTTATCTGCCGCACAGTGGAAGTCATCTTGAATTTAGACAGATTGGAGCCTGGCTCTTACCATTTGGACTGATGAGCCGCACAGTTTGTACAGTTTTGGTTATTTATATTTTTTTCTCGTGTTTGTTCATTCATTTCATTAGCAACCAAACAACTGATGAAATGTACATTGCGATACATCCTGTGATGCTGAATTTTGTGAAATTACATTACAATTATACTTACCTTGTCCAAGTAAGGCCACACGCCAGTCACTATTATGCTGAATCCCAGAGATATAAGGAACATAGTAAAATATATAATGTAAATAGAACGCCATCGTTCTTTATATTCTTGCGGACTTTCGAGATTATCTTGAAAATTTGATTCATTCATTGACCTTAACATATCTCGAACTTGCTTTGTTTTTTTCCCCAACCATGGCATCCTGAAACTGAAAACGTTGTATGAAAAGGGTTACTTTTAGTAAATTTTTAGGCATCAAAGAACATCATGATGATATGTAGTTGTTTTATACGACTTGGTGTTATTTATTTGACAACTAGGAAACGATTATAAATTCACTGCTGCCGGTGAACCAGAGTATGGTCAAGTGATTAGAAACGCATTGATATATTTCATTCTGAGTAACTGGTTATTAAATAATCTTTTTGTAGTTACAGGGATACAGCGGTAAGTGCGTCTTCAATGTGGGCTTTTAGCTGGACTGATTCTATTGCTTTATTGAAAACAGTTCAGAATTTATGATGCACTGTTTGGAACCCTTGGTGTAGTAATGAATATTACTGGAGTTTTTTCCCAACACCAAATCGTTATTTTTAACACCTCGACACATGTTTCGATCACCAAGTGATCATCTTCAAAGAGGAAGATTAAAACTAGGAACTAATGNTTCGATCACCAAGTGATCATCTTCAAAGGGGAAGATTAAAACTGTTTTAATCTTCCTCTTTGAAGATGATCACTTGGTGATCGAAACTCCAGTAATATTCAACAGTTCAGAAGTTGCGTTTATGACTCGACCTCATGCAATCATTGATGATGTCTATGGAAAACCAAAACAGCGCTACCTGATTTAGAATTACGAATACAACACTTTTCGGATTCCGTCCACAACCATTCTACGATTTATACATTCTGAACCCAAAAGTTTATTGCTTGCGTAACATGTAGAACTGTTCCTTATTAATATTTACGGCCAACTTGGTGGCTTTTGGTAAACTTTTGGGAAAAAAGGGTCCAAGAAAATGTTTGTACACCTCTTTTCAGTCGAACTGGCAAACGGTGAAATTGAATGTCCTGCCCTCAAATTTATTTTTTTGGTCTTTACTGGAAAACATCTTGCTGAGACTGACTAGGATGTCTTATGAACTATAATCTCTAAGGATGATCATTTCATCACGAATTCACGTTCGCAAAGTAAGGATGCATCATCAATTATTCTACTCGTTACTCATACTTGTTTATGTACAGTCTTACATTACTATTATCAGTGATAGAGCTAAATTTCATATTTATACCGGAAACTCATGATAACCGATGATATTAACGGTCGAATACGATGCTCCAGTTAAATGAAATAATTCTAGCGCTTGGAAGTTTGCGTCCAAACAGTATTTGAAAAAAAATCATTAAACTTGTCACATGAAATCTTTACATTTCGAAAACGATACTGTACGATACTGAGCAATGTGAATAAAGTTGAATTGAACACTCCAAAGTTGAAGGTCGAAAGAAAACTAAATTAATAGGACAAAAAAGATGTCCTCCATTCCGTATGAATAATGATTTCCTTATCATCAAGCAAACAAAAAGATGTAGTCAGAGTGAAGGAATGAAAATTTTCACTGGCATAATTTTATCACATGTAAATTGTGAAAAGAATATGCTAGAAGAGAAAAAAAAAATAACTTTCCCCACTTTTTGATAACCGTATGAATACGACATCCATTTCTAATTAAATTTTTTAACACTGCCAAAAGAACCAACAAAAAGTATCTTGTATAAATGCCATTGAGTTTCATGAACAATGGAAAAGATGAAATTTTGAGGAAATGAAACATTTTGTATGGAAAAAAAAGTTCACAGCGTGCGATCATATAAAAAGTACCAATTTGCGATTTTTTTCCCGAATGTTTGTTTCTGGAATAGTAGATTTTTCGACTTTTGAGTGTTCATGTTTCTGAAAGAACCTTAAACGTTTTGGTCATCATAACGAATCTTGTATTATAAATGAAATGAACTGATTATTTCACAGTGAACGATAAAAACCGTAAAACAAAAGACCTAGGTACTACGAATTTGAAAATATGAAAAATAACCTATAATGAATCACGAATTGATATTACCCAAAAGAGAGATCGTGAAAAATATAATCATATTTTTGTTTGTATAGATTTAGTAGGTGTCGGGGGATTTCTGAACTAAAAATATGAAAGTTGTTCAGTAATGAACAATAGAACGAATTATCCACATTTGCATGCTCAATTTGATAAGAAATATTTATTCATGTTCACCTGACGTTGTTTGAAAAACAATCGTTTCGACCTTGCTTGTACAGTTTATGAAAAAGTTGTTCTAAAAATATTCATAATATTTTTTATTTGAATAAATCATCTTATATAAATCATTCAAACTTGATAAACAAAGTAGTTAGTTGTTCATTCATTGGATTACTGTATTTTTATAAATTCTGTAGTTCAAGAAGGTATCTTGAATTTCAAATTTCAAAATGACTCTTTTCTTTTCACTCTCTTTTATCTTCTTTCGGTTCTCTTAACGATCATCATGAAAAGATATGGGGCTGCTCATTTTTTTATTTATTCTTTTTTTTATTTTTCCCCGAATGAAAAACTCCAAGACGTCCATCGTATTTACGCTCTCTGCCATTTTGTCAGTAACTCTTATATTATTTGAACTCGGTTTCATTGCGTAATAAAATTTACTTTTCAAAATATCTACTATTACTGGAGCTTTTTCCCAACACCAAATCGCTGTTTTTAACACCTCGACACGGGTTTCGATCACCAAGTGATCATCTTCAAGAGGAAGATTAAACTTCAATCCAATCTTCCTCTTGGTGATCGAAACACGTGTCGAGGTGTTGAAAATAGCGATTTGGTGTTGGGGAAAAAACTAGTAATAGTCATTACTACACCAAAGGTTCGTTCCAAACAGTGCATCATAAGTTCAAAATATCTGTTGAAAATAATAAATGGAAGCGACTATAATTATCATTATTAATATCATTATTATTTTGAAAATAATTGCAAATTAAATGGTCAAAACCATTCATACCACTACACGAATAATTGTTTTCATAACTGATGAACTGTGGGCATTTCANTATGGAATTGAATCAGATATCATTCACAGAATTCCTACACAATATAGTAAAGATAATTCAATAATTTTCCAAATAATCCTATTACCTCACTATACCTGTACCTACAGTTAGAAATCGAAATTTTCCCAAAATATAATATAATGTAAAATAGGTAGGTATATGTATGTTATCATAATCGAAAGTAAAACGTGTTTATTAAAGTAACTTTCTAATGTAAGGCCTTTGATCATGGTCATTATTGTTTATATGTGTGCAACTAGCAAAATTTTTACGTAGAGTAGGTATTAAATTTCTGCCAATAAAATCGCGAACCAAAACATACTTCATTTAATGAAAAAAAAATCAAAATAATCCGACTGATATGTTATATTCCTAAACAAATGTACTTCTAATTGAAAATTAACTCACTTTCATTCCTTTGTTTGGAAGTCGAAATTCATCCATAAAATCATGTTATGATTTCTTTTCAATGTTCACTAAATAAACCTGAGAACACTAATAGAATATCATGATTCAATAGTATAAGAATTGAATGCGTCCCAATTGGATTACAAAATATTTGTGGAAAATAACAAAGCACTTTCTCAAAATCCTAGCGAATACCAGACTTTCCTCCGACTTGATCACGAATCTGTCACAAAACATATGACTATTGTATTCAATCCATTCGAATGTGAAAGTAACCAAAACAATAACAAAGGCGCGTGAACTGTGAAACCTGCATCACACAGCCATCTACATCGTAGTCGTTCAGTCGCCATGGTATGTTAATGTAAATTCATTAAAAGGTGGCGCTCACCCTCTGCTATTCAGGAGGACCACATAGTGGGCGCCATCTAGATTTTATAATTCAAACTTTAAACTCAGGGAAAACCGTAAGCACCAATATTTAAATATTGGTTTACGATTATTTATGGCAATCTCCATTTACACATATGTGTAAAATATATTTTTAGTGAGCCAGTGTGATAAATATATCATGGAAATCTGGAAATAGCAAACAATAATTTCAATGATGATTCATGGCTCCAAGCAACGCTTCCTATAAACCTTGGTGGACTAGGGCTACGTTCGGCTTCTTCCGTAGCTTTACCAGCTTTTCTTTCTTTCTTTCTTTCAATAGTGTTTCTGATCTTATCAATTCCATCTTTCCTTCCATATTCATCAATATCAAAGACGTTTTCTATGCTGAAGGTGAATCACTTTGGCATGCCGCAACTAATATTGCTCCTCCTATAGATAAAAATAAAATACAAAGTGCATGGGACCGACCTCTTCTGAACATTATAACTGATAAACTTCTGAAATCTACAAGTGTATACGATAAGGCTCATCTGAAAGCAGCAATGATCAAGGAATTGGGTGCTTGGCTGAATGCTTTACCTGTTGCATCTCTTGGAACACCATTAGACGATGAATCTTTCATAATAGCAATAGGAGTTAGGATGGGTTCATCTATTTGTGTGCCTCATACTTGTGTTTGCGGTAGTATAGTTGATGAGAAAGGTACACATGGTTTAATTCACAGGAAAAGTGCAGGGCGTACATCTCGACGTCACCAAGTAAACGACATATTGAAACGAGCTATCTTGTCAGCGGATGTTCCTGCAATTCTGGAACCCTTAGGTAATCTCTTCGAAACAAGCCGAGACATGTGGAAATTTATCAGTCTCCTATCAAGGTTAATTCACAAGTGATTGATCCACCTTCTTCTTTTTCAGTGCGGTCAGTGGACTTAGGTCATTCTTGCCCCCCAAATATGAGTTGCAGTCCTCGTAGTTCTGGTTTCCTTTCAGTGGAAGATTTTCATGAAGCAAGAGCCGAATCGATCCCTCTACGAAACCCTTCTTCACTTGGAAGGATCGATCGCAGCTTGAGAAATGATTTTTATGGAGATTCTGTGAAACATGTTCTTTCTTACGAATCAGTAGAGAGTTGTCCTGAAAATCTAGACAAGAAAATTGGATTGGATAATTTAGGAAACACTTGCTACATGAATAGAATTTTACAAGTAAGTAGGCATTGTTGATAACTTCCCAACCCACCTACTAGAGAGCATAATGGCTATTCGTCTGTCAGCCATGTAAAGTTGCAGAATCATCCCAACTTCAAGAAGATAAATTCTCAAGAGAAAAATATCTAGTCGAGGTGGGGTTCAAACTCTCGACGTATGGATCGTGAGTCGGGCGTACTACCATTGCATCAATTTACCTATGAAAATTTTTGTCTCGTGAAATATTGAGTACGCTAGTCCAAATGCCACATACAAAGAAGGAGAATATTTGGTTTCAACAGGAAGGTACTACGACCTGACAAATAGGAGCTGAACCAGCTCAGTATCACCCCAATGAAACCGTAGTAGTTCCGCAACAGTATTTCGTGATCCACACAGTCGAAAGCTTTCGAAGTGGTATTACCAATGATACCTTCAGGAAATCAGGAAACTTTCCTGATTGAAATGATACATCAATAATGTTGTTGGTTAAGAGTTGTAATGTGTTATCTGGGAGATTTTTCGAATAAGAGCCTCATTGAATTTTTTGACTAATGTAGGTATACAGTTTGAATGGTTTGAAGTTTTAACAGTATATAAATATCTCAGAAACGGTACCTATGAATATAGAAATGATATTCTAGATACAACTCACATCAGTAGTATTAATGGACCCTGAGTTGACCAATCCTATTTGTCGCTAGTGTTTGTCATCTAGCTCCAATATTTAAAAAAAACTGTTGACATTTTGGTAAATCACCAGTCGAATAAAAAATTAAAATGAAACAAACGTTTAAGTCATTATCGTGTTTTATTTCGAAGAAAGAGATATTTTTCTTTCGGTATTAATAACTCTACCCTCAATAGCTTGTTGTCGCAACATTTTGTTTGGTATGAAAACAGTGATGAGAGTGCCTAAAAATACAAAGACCGCTTGCACAGCCATTGTCCACATAGGACCCAACCATAAATTGAGATATCCTGCTCCCACTGTCACGACTACACCAACAAGTTGCGAAGAAGCCACTATAATGCCTGATGTTGTTACTTCCTGTGCAGGAAAGGTCAACTCTACACCTAATTCAAAACCAACTGGCAAATATCCATTGAAAAAGAACCTGAAAACACAAATGTATGTATTAGACAGGCTTGATTTTGATTTAAAAACTACTGCTTCTCATTGAAAAAAAATGGATCTTGTCATTCTTTGAATGATGTTATAAATCACATTGACTTAGAATCATCAGTTGGATCATCAGTAAATTAGAAAGCGAATATTATTCGCAATCAACCTTATCCAATTTCAATCTAATTCAATCAAATGCCGAAAGGATCATGGTCAATTATATTTCAATGGGAACAAAAATCCATATATCGTTTATTATCTGACTATAAACCAGAAAGAGTATTCAATTTTTGAAAGAGACCACCTGTATATCATGACATCAATCGTCAAGGTATCGCACATTATTCTTCAACAAACACGTGAAATTTTAAGGTTTAGATGTTCCTGAAACGATGACAACAAAAAGAAATACGAAGAAAAATGAAGGAAAGGAAAGAAAAAGAAAAGAGGGACGAGAAGAAGAACAAAAGATGTGGCAACAAAATGACAAGAAGATTGAAGAAAAGAGAGCGATGAACAAGGAGCACACATAACAAGAAGCACAACAGAAGAAAAAGTTTGCCTTGCAATCAAATAACGTTAGTCAGGTTCTGAAGAGAAATATTTCATCTAGTTCAAGATGAAACTATCAAGGATAGAGAAGTTAGAGAGGAATCGAAGTTCAAGATAGAGTCAAGAAATTCTGAAATGGAGTACAAAATTTCAGCGACCGTGTCAAATGAGTTGAAAGCGAGTTGGGAAAAGTCAATAGGAAGGAATGGACAAGAAATTGAACGAACTAGTGAACCATTCGAAAGACTCACTCTCATAGAAAACAAACCTATTGCAATTTGACAAAATAAATCGTTTATTGTGAGAATAATCCCACCAACAGCAACAAGACTATCACAAGATAAATGTCTGAAGATTCCAACTATCGATGGTTACTCATCATGGATCTTGCATTGTCGATAATTCGTTAATAACCAACTCCATTGGTTGTACAGAAGATCGGCCAGCGCCTTAGTTCTAACACTATGGAAATATCAGAGACAATTTTGGAGCAGACATCAATGACCTAAGACCCCAAGAGAACTCGTAGAGCAGAACAGACTTTCATCAGTGGGTTTGCGAACATAGAGATGCCATGTAAGCCATGTATCATAGCAGAATCAATCCACATTCAACTCTATACAACGTATCAGCTGAAACAAGAACCAGCAAGTTCTGTAATGATCATGTGTAGTTGAAGTTTACCAGGGTGGTACCTACCAGAAGTACCCGGCCTGACATAGAGATGGCGGTAGTTGTTTGAGAAATATCACAACATCAGAAAGCACATGTTTCAAGTTTGAAGACGCTGCGTTGTTTAGTATTTGTTTGGCAGCCATCAATAGCGAACGTTTTTGGCGAATTTCTGAAAATGGAGAAAATTGGTCACCGTTATGTTAGCTGTCGCCCCCATACGAATGACAACTCTCAGAAGTTGAGAAACTTGTACCTTCCAACGTATGATTCCTAACACGGTTGCAGAATCATTCCAGCTTCAACCAGATAAATTCTCTCGAGAAAAATATATGGTCGAGCGGGAATCGAACTCACGGCCTTCCGATCGTGAATCGGGCGCACTACCACCGCGGTCAATTCCACAACGTACGATACTTTTATTTGAAAGGCCTCAGCCCAACCAATATAAGAACTGAACTGGATTCTACTCTGGGTAAGTCTGCTCCTTCGTTTACAACAGTAAAATATTGGGTAGCAGAGTGGCAAAGCCTTGTCGACCAAATGTGGTGACGACTCCAGAAACGGTGAAGAAAATCCACAAAGCGGTACTGAATGATTGTTAACCGCGAGCTGGCAGACTTAGTAGGCAATTCAAAAAGTGCAGTACATCGTATATCATCTGAATATTAGGACATGAGAAAGCTGTGTGCAAGATGGGAGCAAAAACAGTGTCGTGAAGATGTTTCAATTGAGTGTTCAGCGAAGTGTCACACAAAGCGGAATTCTTGCGTCGTTTCATAATCATACATAAAGCATGGATCCATTACTTCACACCCGAGACAAAAGGACAATCAAAACAGTGGACTCAAAAGGAAGAACCGGCTCCAAAGAAGCCGAAGACCGATCCATCTCCAGGCAAGGCCATGGCATCGGTTTTTTGGTAAATATTATAAACGGTGAGTATCATGTGAATTTATTGCAACGTTTGAATGATGAAATCAAGCAAAAACTACCGCATTTGGCTTAGAAAAAAAGTGTTATTTCATCAAGACAATGCTCCAGCTCAACGACCAAAATCAACGAATTAAATTATGAATTGCTACCTCATACACCCTTTTCACCAGATTCAGACCTTCGGATTATTTTCTGTTCCTAAACTTGGAAAAATGGCTCAGTGGTAGAAGATTTTCCAACGGTGAGGAAATGATGTCGGCAGTTAATGACTATTTTGAAGAACAAGAAGACAGTTCTTATTATAAAAACGGTATCAAACTTATAGAATGTCGCTGGGAAAAATGTAT